GCAAGAACTGTAACCGTGTAATTCAACGCATATAGATAATTGATTTAGCATATAACAAGCATGTAAAATTTAATTAATGATCACTTAAAACCCTAGAGGCTATCTAAGGATGCACAGAACACAGGCTAACGGGAGAGAGAAAGAAAAAAAACTTGCCTCTGTGGTTTTTAAATAAAAAACCTTGTTGCCATCTTCCTAAATTTTTCCGGCGATCATGACTGTTGTTAAGAACTCCTTTGCTCCGGTTCTCCTCCACAAATAGACCCTCTACATTCCTCTTTGGTCCAGCCTAATCCACAGCCAAAACCTTCACCAAGGTTGCTCTGTTTTCCTCACAACCTCTTTCTGTTTTCTCTCAATATCTCTGAACGTGAATAGGGTATGTGTTTTGTTTTTCAATCCTAAACAACCTTAATACCATATATTTATAGGTGTATAGGAAAACCTAATTCTAATTAACTGAGGAGACGCCACCGCGAAATAACAATTAAACCAACTATATGTATAAGTCGACGCTTAATAAAAAGATAAAACCCTAGAATTATATTCCACCCTATATAATGAATAAAAAATATAATTCAATTGTTAATAATTATTATTAATCCATATATATATATATACCTGTATACATATCCATGGGTATTAACCATACCCATTTACTCCATACCATTCAATCCCATCCTATATAAATTAAACACCTTAATTGACACAATTCATTTAACCATTTAATTCAAGTCACCTATTTTATAATTTCAATTAAACAGACAATGTCAATTAAACAAATAAATTAATTTACATAACAACGTAATTCAAATTTCACATAAAAACAGGAAACCATCAAAACACGCAGCCACGTAAGCACTTAAAAATAATAAAAGAAATAATGAAATCAATAAAATAAATAGTAAAATTCCAATTATATCCCTTTTAAAACTAGGGGTATTACATAGGTCACTCAAAAATTTGAAACAGCTCGTCATCGAGTTACCAAACCTGACGCAATACCAGGTCACTCAAAATCTTGAAAGGCCTCGCCATCGAGTTACCAAACCCCGGCGCTATGCCAAGTCACTCAAAACCTTGAAAGGCCTCCCCATCAAGTTACCAAACTTTGACGCTGTACCAGGTTGGTCAAAACCTCGAAAGGTCTCACCATCGAGTTACCAAAACCTGACGTTATACCAGGTTACTCAAAATCTCGAAAGGACTTGCTATCGGATTACCAAATTAGGGCGAGACAACATGTCATTCATCACTTCAAAAGACTTGCCATCAAGACCACCAAATCATAATGCATACAAGAAGAACATGTATTAAAGACTTTATACTCAAGCAACTCGAGATAAAGATAGGGTTTCCTCGATAGTTTGAGGTTCTCCTCATTGGGATATTTAGAAGGATCTTGGTTTAGTAGATGAGAAACTAAAACATGATCTACAAACGAGCCTGATTAGTGTGATGGTGGATGTACGCTGCGAGAGAGAAACTTTGCATTGCATTTAATGCACTGAAATAGTCATAATTAACTTGGTTACCGCCAGTTATAAAATGACAAAATGCATTTAATGCAATGGATATGAATATTCAGCAAGTTCTATGCTCAAAAAGAGGAAGTGACTTCTTAGAAACGCTAGTGTCATCATGACTTCTTAGGTAGCCATGACGCATGATAAGGACCACTAGATAATATCCGAGACGTTTGAAGGCTATAAATAGTAGCCTCAAGACAAGCATTAAAGGTAGAGAGAATATAGTATTTGGGGTGACCGCAACAATACACATCCTATATATCTCCACTTATGTACTTTCCTGTTTCTCGACCGCAACAATACACATCCTGTATATCTCCACTTATGTACTTTCCTGTTTCTCCTCATTCTTCCATTTCCTTCTTTGGATCCTCACATTTGTGTTTATACACATCACCAATGGACAATACTTGCTTACTTACTGGTGAGTAGGAAACTTATACTCATCACGTATGTGGCGTAATGCTAAACTGATAAGTGTTCTTACATTTAAAATAATAAAAAATAAATAATTTGATAACTATCCGGGTTAAATGGATCCGAATCATATTCTAATTCTCTCTCCTCTCCCTCTTTTCACTTTTCTATTATGTGGAAGCCCTAATTTTATCCGTTTTGTCCCTCTTCCCTTCTCTCTCGCACTCATATTTTTACAGAGACAAACTAGTGTTTTATTATTGACAGGAATCTATATATGGCACCTCTAAGTAACCTTTCAAAAATTTCACAAGGCTCGAAAGGAACTGAAAATTGATGACGTTGAATTCAATAGTGTCTAGAACGATATCGAATGCAATGTTTTGCAGCTGAATTTATTTACCGAAGCTGATTAAATAAGACCTCACACCTGCAGGGGTCATCATTTTTTGGAATATTGGTATTTGAAGCTGATTTTTTTTTTTTTTTTTTTTAACTATACACTTAAATTCTTTATAGGGTTTTGGCATTTAGTGATTTTGATCTCAAATAGCATATAAGTACAAGATATTTTTCTTTGTTTTAGGTGTTTTTTTTTTTTTTTTCATGATAGAAGCGTATGAGAGAGGGAGAAGAAAGATAATTAGAATTTGATTCAGATTTATTTGAGTTTAACCCACCTAGTTATCAAATTATTATTATTATTTTTACTATTTTAAATATAAAAACACTTGTCCGTTTAACATTACGCCACATATTTGGTGAGTATAAGTTTCCTACTCACCGGTGAGTGGGCAAGTATTGTCCATCACCAATTGCATAACTTTTACTGTTATGAAATTATCCTCTACACTTCCCAATTACCTTCCTACTTTTTCATTAATTTTTCCCTTTTTTTTTTTTTTTTGAATGTCTAAATGGCTTATTGTTACCTGTTCTAAAAGCTTTATCTATTTAACCCGAACGTGTTGGCTCAGTCGGGAAAGACTTGAAGTTTGGTGCATCAGGAAGCATCCGGTCTCAGGTTCGATCATCACTGGGTGCGAGCAATTCATTAGGGTCATGATTGCTGATATAGTTTGAGTTTTACCTACTCTGTGTCGAAGAGAATGTATAGATTCCGTGAATTAGTCTGGGTGAAATCCCAAAAGACGGACAGCTTTGACTATTTACTTTGAGATAATATCCTTGAATATATACTGCTTATGCCATGTAAGTAGACATATGAGAATCAAACAATCAGCCAAGGGCTATAAATAAGCCCTAGCAAACCTCCTTGATACTGCGGTTGGGATGGTACTTATCAACAAGCTGGATAATTTTTTTTGTCTGTTTTTTAGCATACGTGCTGGATAATTCAAAAAATGAAATTTTATAAAAAAAGTAAAAATGTGCAGCATTTCAACAAAAATATAAATCAACCAATCTAGACATGGATGCATGTGATCCGTGAACATACAATAATGGAATACCAGTATTTAGTCCATTTACTTGTAAAATTCTGGAAGAAAATACTTTGCTAATTTGTCAATTGGGATTTAATGTTAATATACAAGAACACCATGAATTATATATAAACTTTAGAGGTGATATAGATCATCATAAATAATTAAATATTGGTACTATAAACTATTTAAAGGTAATCGAAACGTGAACGACCATCACTAGAATCCGGGGTAGAGTGGTTCTATTATTTAAATACCCAATGCATAATATCAATCTGGAATAAAATTCAACTAATTAAGAACGACAAATGATAGTTTCTTGAATTTGCCGGTGCTTCTTGTTTATATATATATTTTTTGTACTGCATCAGGCTTCTGGTTTAAAATCAACCACGGCACCCCTGATAAGGTTTGCATCCACGGTTGACTTTTCCGTTTCTACCAGGAAGGCAATTTGCGTATTTGTGTCTGTCACAATTTCCCAGTGCAGGTTTATTTGGTTATTCGTCCCGCCAGTCACTCCTTTCCCAATCCCGCCGAGTAGCCTTCTACTAAATTCAGGATCCATTGGAAGCTGCAGCTCTTCGTCCATGTCACATTCACCAATGGTACCATTGCAGGAGTCATGTGACATGAAGTTGACGATGGTGCTCTTCTTATGTGAGGTAAAGGTAGAGGTAGCTCCACATACAATTACAATTGAATCCAGCATTACCCCAAGGAATGTTGAGGAATACCAACACCCTTTCTTCACAAATAATGAAAGCACCATTTTACTTACTACTCCAACACAATTCACCACTCTATTTCTTTCACCAAGCGAGGATGCACTTAGGCAATAATACCAGCCTTTAGAGTATCCATCCACTTTTTATAATTGAATAATTAGAGCTTTGGATATTAAACGAATGGTCCTCCATCGTTCCTGCCACCAACTTGTTTAATTATTGCAATCCCTTGCAAAATACATATATTTTCCCACGTTCACACCTTTTAAATTTTGTTGTTACTCGATCTTAAATGTCTTATTGCTAGCTATTTGTTTTCTTGCAAAAGATTTTTCACCCGTCTAATACTTTCTCCCAAAAATTGAAGGGCATATATTTGAATATAAATATATATGAGAATTGAACAATTGACCCTAGGTATATATCATGTACCCATCTTTGTTTTAACTAAGAATATAAAATAGAATATTATAAAAGATAATTTCTTTAAAAATAAGTCAATTTAAAAAAAATATTATTAAGAAAATTGAACCAAACAAAATTTTTATACAATTTTTTAATTTTCAATTATGCACGGTAAGCAGTAATTGTTCTCTCTTTGTTAGGATAACTAAGACGAAAAAGAAAGGAGAGAATAAATTTATTTATTTGAAAACAAATAAAATTATAGCAAAAACTCTTGATTGGGAAAAAGACTAAATAGATATTTAAAAATAATAATTAGTTTTATTTTACTAGTGGTAGCGCAAGCAAAAATAAAAAAAATAAAAATTTATGATACAAAAACTAAGGAGCAAGACCTATAAGGCTATAATTATTTCCTTTCTTTTTCTTTTTGTTTCCGTCGATCCAAATGAGTGAGATTTGGTTCTCTACAAAAACTAGGAGCAAGACCTATAAGGCATTTCAGTGTGGTTTGTTGCGACGTAGGAGATCGAGCCCCATCCTGCATTGCTGGAACCCCGACTATTAACTCTTCTCCGTCGCCGGAAAATCAAGAAACCAAGAACAGAGACTGCGATCACACCAGAAAGAACACCGCAGACAACGGTGGCGACTGGTGTAGTTTTTCGGTTTTCCGTCTTCGCTGGTTGTGGGGTAGACGGTGAAGCGGGCGGTGGAATTGAGTCAGGGTTGAGTCCTGCTAGATTGCCGGAATAGTCACTGATTTTGAAAACCTCTATCCCATTCAAGATGGCATCAGAGTAAAGTGTCTGTGAGTCCGGATTAGGATGCAGAGCTATAGAAAGATTATGTTTCTTCTGATCTCTTGCTTGACTCACCATCAACACTGCATAATCTCTGTAAACCGGGACATGATTTCTTCCAGCCCAAACGATCACATCGGCTTGACTCTCGGCCGTCTGATTTGCTATGAATATAGTAAACTCCCTGTCACTTTGCTTTGTGACCTCAACTTGAAACTCACAGAAGTGTAGTCTGAGAAGGTACATAAAACCGGAATCCAAAGGCAAATTCCAAGTGAGATTGTAGTTTTTGTTTACAGTTTTGTTGTTTCCCATGGACCGAGCGGTCATATATACTTCGGCCGGTGCAGTGTAACTAGGTAATTTGGTGAAGATGAGATTAAAGCTGTTGTTAACTGGAAGAGCCCCTATGTTTGACACGTAATCGTCGTCCTTCAACCAGCTTCGGAACATACCCGTGTCCAACATGGGCGAAATCTCTCTACCACCAACATTCAATCGGTGTACGGTCTCAAGAGCAGTGTTGTTTTCAATATGAATTGGGTTTTGCTCATGGCCGATAAAAGTAATGCCATATGGTGGGTCGGCCGGGGTGTAATAAAGATTGGTAGGCATGGAGACAATTTCAATCCCATTGATGAAAGCGTATGCATCCGACTGAGTCGAAGACGGAGTGAAGGTGATGTTCAATGTTTGATCTTCATCTTCTACGTTTATGCAGAATTCTTTGAATAGATAGTCTGAGCCCAGAGAAGCAGCTGTTAGAGAGGCACTGAAGTTGCTGAGAAGAGTGAATTGATTGGCTTTGACAGAGAAGAAGGCTTTGGAGGGTTCAAACTTTGGGTATTGAGAAGGGTAGAAGTGCAACCGGATGAACTTTTGGCCTGCAGTGACCGGAAATACATAGGTAAAATCGGTCAAAGATATGCGTGCGGTCAAGTAGGGAACAGAGCTCGCTTGAGAAGATTGTGTCTCAGCTGAAGTGGCTATTGATTTGTTGCGTTTTTGGTCTAAAGGGGAAAGAAAATTTATACCGGTGTCGGCCACCCATTGCCGGCCGTCCAGTGTGGTGCTGCTGACGGAGTAGCCGCAGTCAAGGGCGATACTTTCAGTAGGCGTGTAAAAAGGTTGTGATGAGTCGGAGGAAATGGGAGTGAGTGAAATAGTGAGTAGTAGGAGTAGGTACAAAGGATTGAGAATCACTAGGTTTTTGGAATGTAGAATTGTCATCGCAGGAGAGACTTAGAACCAAAAGACACTGGAGATAATCACAGTTCTAGTTTTGCTTTAATTTTCGCATAATTTTTAGGAGACTCTAATTGGTTGAAGAGAAAATTGATGGTCAATTTTGCTACAACTTGTTTTACGGATTGATTGATACATGCGTGGAAGGCCGTGTTTAAGACGCGTGAAGACAGGGACGACTTGGAAAAGTCTCTGGCGTGGTGGATTTTTCCACCAAAAATGAGGATGATCGATTGGGATCAGACCATAATGAATGTCCCTCTCCAGTCTTTTCCTCCCACTCGCACTACCCCACATATGCACTGTTATGTGCAGTGTCTTTTTATGCCTTTTCATTTCTAGCTATTGGAATTGAAGTAAAGTTGATTGTTATTTTCTTTTTATGAAAAGAAAAGAATTAGTAAAATATTTTTAAAATCGTTAGGGGAAAAGTGCAAAGTTAAATTACAGGAAATGAGGAGTGCAATGAGTGGGGAGACTGATGCATGTCTAAAAAAAATAGTAAGTTTGACTGAAACTATGCAAATTTGGAGGATTCAATGGACGGATAAACAAATCTGACGGAGTCTAATGAGTGGTGATGTTGGGAAAATACTTGTCAAGAAATGATTAAGTAAGATCTAATGAATTTTAAGAGTGTTGCTGTCGAAAAAATATGTAATACCTTTTAATTTTAAAACACGAGTTGATCAAGTTCGCGCACAAAATTAAAGAGTATCAAAACAATTTTAGTATTTAATAAGCACAGAATACAAAGATGAAATAAATTAATAAATAATATGCGGAAAAAAAACTAATAAATAAACATTTTTCATTAATAACTCGCCAACGGTTACAACTCGGAAATCCCGAAACTCAAGGACCCCTTCACCAAAATCTACTGTGCATAAATCTATTAATAATTACTGAAGTAAAAATATCCTACTTTGAAATAAAAATAGAAGGAATGGATAAGTCTTCCAGTTGCGAATCCTCAACTTTGAGAATTGAATTTCAAATAATCTGAAAAATAAATCGTGGGTTAAACCCTACGAGCAAGTTCACTCTACCAGACCTCTGAAAACCAATAAGTAGATCATCTCTTATCAAAACCAAACTTAATAAAGTTTTAAGTTTACTAAACAATGATACGCATATGTATAGATACTTATATACGATATAACCATTGCATCCATTAATAGTTTCATTAATTTTTAAAACCATTAAAACATGATTAAAACATAATCATACCTAAACCAATTCAAAACTCATTCTCTTTAAAAGAGAAACCCCTTTAACCTTAACTCCATTTTAAATAATTATTTAATCATTTAAATAATAAAATATAATTCAAGGAAAACTATAATCCAAAAGCCAATAATGAATTTAGCTAATTCACACATAACAATTAAATTACGCTTTGACAAATCAACCATGCCCTAATCAATATATTTATTTATATATGGCAACTCAACCATGCCTCCCTAAGTATATATATGTATACTTTTAATTAGCAACTCATCCATACTTCCCATGTATGTAATTTATTCATACCAATACTTAGGCAATATATTTATGTCTATGCCAACTCAACCATGTCTACAATTCAACCATGTACCAACTTTAGACTTAACGATAACTAATTCATACATAGATATCTCATGTAGAAACATATGACTAATTTAATAATCTGTCTATCCAGATATATCAAATAAGAATAATAATCTTAAATGATATATATACATACACATAAATAAATATGTATAATACCATCTATAAAAATTCTTGATTATTTAAATCATATATGCATATATATTAATAAATATACATATATACACATCCCTCCATAATTATCCTAACCAATTAAACAATATATACACATATATAAATAATCATATATATATATATATATATATATATATATATATATATATATATTTCCTTCCATCACGTAATATTAATTAATTAATTATACGCACATTAAATACCATAGTGACACTTTATTGCCCTAAAAACCTTAAAATATCTCCCTGGGTGGTTGGTTTAAACCTTAACAAGCTTGGAATCCAATATGAGAATTCACCGAACCCCTTAGAACCTTTCCGGGACCTTAAATACTTCTCCACGCGCCGCCACGCGCCGCTAAAATCCACCAAACATTCCTCACGCGCTTCCACGCGCCACTACATGCTAATAGGTGACCTCACGCGCAACCACGCGCTGCACACGCGCCAGCTTCTTCTTCTGGGTGATGTGGCACCTCCAGATTGGCTGTAATCCACCCAGCCGCATGAGCGCACCCGCACCGGATCAGCCGCTACTCATCAATGCATCCCAGCCCTTTAAAGCTTGCGCGCACTCTACTACTGTGATCCGCAATGCACCGGATCCTTTCTATTGATCAGCCAACATCCAATGGCCTCTGACCTGCTGCGCACTGAAGCTCCATGTGCCGCACCACACTGAATCACCCTATTATTGTTTATGGTTCTGATTCACACACACACCAAGTTACAGTAGGTTGCGCCACACTGAACCAACACCCACTCTTTGATGGGCCGATTTCATACCTCCAGATTATATAAACAGTATATATATATATATATATATATATATATATATATATATATATATATATCCTAACAAATATATTAAAAATATATATCTCATAAAATTCCTAAAAGAAAAATACAAAATAATACCAGAAAATTCCACAAATTCTATAAAACCTAATTAATCCTCTTGGGTCACAGTTCCACCTATACATTGATTTTAAAATATATATACAACCTCTATATATACAAATAAAATCCTATAATCCAAACTAATAGTTTATAATAATTCATCCTTTTAAATAATCCGATTTAACCAATAAATATAAAGATATAATAATTCATATTTTTTTATTAATCCATTCTAATTATAATTTAAGTTAATAATTTAATTAAAGCCTTGATATTCAAAGTGAAAAACTTATGGGTCCTAAGAGGAAAGTTAGAAAAGAACTTGCCTGAAGGTTTCGAAACGAAACCGACGCTTCAACCTTCCAATCTCGACGTCCTCTTTCTCTAATCGAGCCTCCTCTTTGTCGGCCTTCTCCTTTTCTTCTCTCTTAAACTCTCTTATTTTTTTCTAACATATAAACCTTTTAACCATAAACCTTATGTGTATATTTATACACATTAAAACCTAAATCCTATTCCAACTAAGACTACCTAATAAGGTAATAATTTTTAAATAATAAATATCCATAAACATATATATATATATAAACATATATTATATATATATATATGTATATATATATATATATATACACACACACACACACATACACACATACCTTCCATAATAAACCATTGGTTAATTAAATCCTATACACCTATCTATATCTATAAATATATATCTCTATATATATCTTTCCATAACAATTATTAGTTAATTATATTTATATATAATCATATATATTTATAATTAATACAAAAATGATCATTTAAATAATTAAATAATCGTGTGCCTTTATTAATTAACCCAATAAGGCTTCATACAAGCCCAATACCACATCTTTTGGTCCAACTTCCCTTAATCCCAAATCCAATTAATTTAAATAAATCCAATAATTAAATAGACACTTAAATAATAAAAACCAAAAACTAATTACACTAAGCACATAAACAAAACAATAAATTACAACCAAATTACACCATGCCAATAAAATTAACACCCCAACAATTCAATCAATAATTAAGCACACACACAACAATCATCATATTAATAATTCATGAAATATAAATAAAATAAAATAATTAATCTAAACACTCAATAAAACAAATCAATTAAAAATTAAAATAAACGCAATTAATTCAAATTAAATCAAATATATCATTTAAAAATAAAATAAAAGTAATTAATTCCAATTAATAAATCTTTTAAAATATCGGGGTATTACATTTCCCCCCCCCCCCCCTAACAAAAGGAATTCCGTCCTCGGAATTCACGAATCCATGAAATGAAAACTTTGATTATTTAATTTCAAATTTCATTATTCCTTTTATCCGTGTAGAAATTAACCCATCCACACATATTCATAATTAGCAGACACATCTCGTAATTAGCTAATTCCATATTTATATAATTGATAAATATAAGTACACACTAGAGACTTTCACTTGACTAAAGTAGTCTCAACCGGATAGTGGGTATCTCATGTAAAACGAATACAAAGGTGGTCACGAGTCCTCCTTCTACCAGAGCCCACATATCCTTAAATCTAACTACCCATCTCAGTCGGCAATTTACGCCTCCATCCTAACCACTGATCCTGAGACTCAAGCTCATATCGTGGCACATATATATATAATCCATTATATCCAAACATAAAAGTAAACTATCCAATCATATTATTTCAATGGCATGCCATCCAACTATTCCGTTGATTTGACACGAATAAGTAGGACTTAACTCTATGGTTAATCCATTCCCTTATAAATATATAGGTAGGACTTAACTTCTTTAGTTAATCCTTCCCTGAAATGCCACCGTCCCATACCGGTGCATTAAACCATACCATCCATAAATAAATAGGTAGGACTTAACTATTCCGTTAATCCGTCCCTAAAGTACCTCCATATTATTTTAATAGTGCATAAATCCATAAAACCTATACTTCATGCAATATATATAATCATACATCAAATAATCCAGAGTAATTATAATAAAAATCCGATAAATACATGATTATATTATATGCCAATTAAAATCACATAAATAGACATTGAAATTTCTAGAATGATATTAAGCAAATAAATCATTCATTCACAACATGTAAGTTAATTAAAATTCCATATGATTCAAGTCCTTAGCATAATAATGTATATTACGCATTCTGGGATTTTAACCAGTCTATTTCAACCATTTAAATCACCTAATTTGATCTAAATAACTTTGGAACACCCCAATCCTCAAAATAGAACTTAAAAACCAATTCTGTAACTACATTCATCCCC